CGACGGCGTCGTGAGGGTTATTCTCGAGCACGAAGCCGTAGTCCATGAGGAGCTGGGCGTTGCTCATCTGCCTGGACTGTCCGTAGGCGACGAATATCTGTTCGCCCTTCTTGATTGGGCTGCGCGCCGAGTAGATCAGATGATGGTCGACAGCATCGACTGCGACCTTGACCTGCTCGGTTTCCGGCGCCATGTTGAACATGTCCGCCTGACGAGTATGGATAAGTAAACTATTATATATAGCTACAAATATAGTGACGATATGAAGATAGAGAGCGCAAGTGAACGGATGCAGCAGACGAAGCGAAGGGATGAGTACCCAGGGAACGAGCCCGCTCTTCCCCTCATCGACCACGAACGACCGGGACCAGATCACTGAGAGCGCCCACTTCCACGCATCGAGCGAAAACTGCTCCGGCGCGAAGTGCTCGGGGTAGTCCTGCAGGATCCCTTGCCCGAGTCAGCGAGCGCAGAAAGAACGAAAGCGAAAGCGAAAGCGAAATAGAAAGAGAGTGAAAACGAAGACGAAGGAAGGGGGGGGGTTTGCACGCGCACATACCACAAACAGCGGCGTAAAGATGGTGTCGTACTGTGACTCGATCGCCCTTCGCCGCTGACGCGCGAAATCTGAACGCGTGCGAGAAAGAGGGTCAAGCTTGCGCTGGCCCCCCCGCCACGAAGACAAAAACTACGCACAGTGAAGCGACGAGCCCTCGAGATAGCTCAACTCGTCATCGGAGAAGAAGAGCGTGGTGGAGAATGTTGATGGCAAGACATCTGCGTACGTGAGTGGTAGAGGTAGTTAGCGATCTTCTGCGCACGCACACCGCCGATGGCTGGAACCATCATCGCTCCACGTCACGCCTTGCGTCGTGGATGATGGGTCCCGGTCGTACCGATGTAGCGCTGCCAGGGCGAATTTGGGTCGTTCTTGTGGACCAGCAGAAGGAGCGCGTTCTCGTTGGTAGGAGACAGCGGGAACTCCTCGCTTGGCCGGAGAGATGACAGTACAGTGAGCGATCAACATCGAGCAGGTCCTCCACCGAACCCGGCGTGGGGGGAAGCGCGCACTCAAGTATTCGGCGTATCTCGGGAGCAGAGGTCGCCAGCAGGGCGTCGGCGCTGTCGACCACGAGCGAAAACGGGACCGAGAGCAGCGTTTCGCCTGCCTGTCACGACACCATCAATATCAACGAACACGCACGCACGAACACATACGTGTGTGTGTGGTATGTGGTGTGTGTGTGTGTGTGTGTGTGTGTGTGGAGTGAGGGAGGCAAGGTACGGCGATGTCGTGCGCGGCTACGACGGAGCGGCCGAATGTGGGAAGAGTCCGGAGCTGCACCCCCGCGTGGCGCGATCCGCCCTGTTCCGCGAACCACGCCTCGAACGCGGCCCAGCGCTGTGTCTCCTCCCCTCTAGAGCAGGAGAGGGGGAGGTGTACCAGGGTGAGTGAGTAGTACCAACCCGACGATAACTGCACAGCAAGAGCGAAGGTCCATCTTGCTTCGCTTTCTTTCGTTCTTTTTAGTGTCGTTGATTTCACTTTTCTTTTCTTTTCGTTTCTTCCACGGGTGTGCGCTTGGCATTCCTTCATGTGCGGCAGTGGAATTTCGCGTTCGTGTAATGTTTGGGGAACGGCCTTGGTTGGTTTCGTTTCATTCTCTTGTTTCAGGTGAAGGAAGGAGAGTCAACCTCCCGCGCCGCCTACGTGACCCACCTCCTCCTGCCACCACTGCTTAGCGCCAGGCTTTCAGGTTGACATGAACAAGCTCAAACGACCCCACGGCGAATCACTTGCTAGGTAACCTCTTCTTTCTTCATTCATATTAAAATAATATATAATCAATTCTTAGAGATAAATTTTTTTATTAGCATTTTTTTCACTTTGCCATTATTATTTGAATTTATTTTTATCTTATTTGTTGCGTGAAGGGCGCCGGCGGAAGCGCGGTGGCAGCCGGCGGAGAAGGAGCAGCCGGACGAGCGCGAGCACTACCACCACCCCCGCCCGCAGCGCTCCTCCTTCAACCTGCCGCCACCGCCGACGAGAGGCGGCATGCGCGGGGGTGCGAGGGGCCGCGGCGGCGGGGGACGCGGCCAGCCAAGCTTCCGCGGCGCCATGCCCGTCGTTGCGGCGCCCACCACTCCCCACCAGGCGGTGCCCGGGCCGGCGCAGCAGCAAAAGAAGAAGAAGAAGGCCGCGAAGAAGAAGCCCACCCAAGCGGTGGTGCCGGCCAGCAACGCCTTCGACCAGATCGCGCCCCAGAAGACTCTCTACGTCCTCAACGATGACTTGTACTCGAGCCCTCCGCTCTCCTTCTTCTCCTTGTCCACCAGGTCTAACATTCGTGTCATGTGTCGTGCGTCGTGTGCGGTGCAGCGAGAAGAAGCGGCCTGATCGTCTCACGTGCACCTTTGCCAGCGTTCATGGTATGTCGGTGGAGACGTGCGCACACGTGGTTCTGTCACTGGCACTCACTCTCAAAACAACCGCACACGCACGGCACACATGCGACACGCACCACCGCACACGCATAGGTTTCAAGTACAGGAAATACACGACGGCGCCGAAGGTGGTGAAGCCGATCGAGCTGCTGCAGATCTACAGCGACCGGCAGGCCCAGGCCCTGCAGGACATGCTCGAGGAGCTGGCCCTCATCGAGGCCGAGGCCCAGAGCCGCGAGAAGGGCAAGGAGAAGCTCGACCCCAGCGACCGCGGGCACCACGCGGTCGGCGATGGCAGCGACGACGACGACGAGGGCGACGCCGACATGCAGGAGGTGGTCAAGGAGCTGGTCATGGACCTCGAGGCCCTCAACAGCGGCAAGGCCGTGCAGCTCGAACCCGAATTCGACGCACCCGCGTCCCACTTTTTCGTCGCGGCCGGTATGACATGTCATCTCATTTCGTTCTTTGTTCGTTCTTTTGCTCACCACACACACACCACACGCATGCGTGACAGACCACATGCCACGCAATTCTGGACACGCGGCGAAGCCGGTGTTCTTCGAGGCGGTGGAGAACAACACGGCCGACGGCGGTGATTTTAAGGTGGCGGACCAGCCGCACGCGCAGGGCAGCCTCTTCTGGGACACCTCCGCGGCCTCCAACAAGCAGCCGCACCCCAAGCAGCAGGCCCTGAGCTTCGGCCCCGCGCGGCCTGACATCTTCTTCAAGCCCTCGGCCGGCGCCAAGCCCTCGCTCAAGTCCCAGCAACAGGCCACCTCCTCCACTAATGGTGCGAGTCCCCACAAAAGCGCAGCTCATTCTTTCAATTCCTTGACTGACTCGTGTGCGTTGTGTGCGGTGCGTGTGATGTGTGCGGTGCGTGCGGTGTGTTTCTAGGAATGGAGGACGAGGACGTGCGGGAGTTGTGCGAGCTGGAGCGGCTGCTGCGGGACGGCTTCATCACACGTGAGCAGCACAGGGAGCGCGCCGCGCAGCTCAAGGAGGCCATCCGCGTGCGCAAGGCGCTGGCCAAGCAGCGCAAGGCCGAACGCAAGCGCGAGCAGGAGGCCGAGGAGAAGCTGTGGGAGGAGCGCGACCGCAAGCTCATGCTCGAGCGCCGGGAGGAGGAGATGAAGCTCAAGGAGCAGAAGAAGAAGGAACTCACGCGCGCCGTGCTTCAAGGTTCGCCTAACCCTAGCCGCCACCTTAACACACTCGGCCACCACCTTAACAGGCACCTGTGTGTGCGCGTGTGTGTGTCGTGTGTCGTGTGCGATAGATTTCTTGGAGGGCAGGCTGAGCCCCAAGGAGCTGGCGGGGCAGATCAAGAAGGGGGTGGTGACGGTGGAGCAGCTGCTGGGCCTGTGGAA